AACAAATAAGGAATAGTTGATTTAACCATACATGGAAACAGAGTTTTATGGGGCCCCCAGGAACTTTCGGGGCCCTAGGCAGCTGCATACTATAGCCTAATGGTAAATCCCCCCCCACCCATCCCCCCAGCTCCACCGATCACTACACTACTGATAATAATAAGTTTGCATCCTTTATAAGAGGATATGGTTTATGTAAATTAGAAACTGCATATTTATTCAATCAAGGTTGAGCCACTTTCATTGGAAAAATCAATAATTGTTGGAAATTGTCATTAATAGGCTTACTGATTATTTCATGCAGTTAAAATATACGGTTCCCTTCTCATAACACTGGCCAATGAGGAACAAATGCTACAAAAATCACAGAATTTGTTGTTGATGAAGAGTGAAATAAATACTGTAAAACAAACTTGCAGGTAAATACATTTCTTCCCATGTTATGCAGAGGGAACTCATGATGTTATGACTTTATTCTTGTAATTTTACAACTTTATTCTCGTAATGTTACAACTTTATTCTCAAAATAGACAAAATAAAAAAACTCTAGCCTTAGTACTCCGCCATAGATCTTAAACCTAAAATCCAGCTAAACTGTGATATCATTGCTTCATCTTATTGATTATGGTTTTCAGCCATGTTTTTCATCTTCTTAATCTACATAATAGCTTAGATTGCTTAAGTTTCACTTGTTTAGTCAAGAGATTTTAAACTTTAATATTATTGACTTATAGCTGAATGATATTTGGTCACAAACTCTCTATTTTGTTGAATTTAGTCCATATGTGGGCTTGATTAACACCTTCATTTGTTGTTCTGTATTCACACACAATATATGAGAGTCTGAAAGTTATTTGATTAAATAACATATTTACCACACTTATCATAATTGCAATAAATATCTTTATTGCACAACAGCTACTACAGCTGAAAACCACTGATTATGGCTGAAATCTTGGTGTCACCATGAACCTTCAGAGGCTCATAAAGGCAGTTACTGAATCATCTTTTGATCACCTGAAGATCATCTCCAGGATTAAAGGACTGATGACCAGCAGGATCTAGAAAAACTCATTCATGCATTTATCTATAGTACAATTGATCACTGCAACAGAGTCTGCATAGGTTTGCCTAAAAACCCATCAGACAGCTGCA